CCATATGTGCATCTGTTGTCGATCGGCTGGAAGCGGCCTCAATCGTGCTTTAGATTTTAGATCAGATAAAAATGGTTTTAAGTTATTATTTTAAAATTTAGATTTCAATTTGGCTAAACGTTATAATAAGAACTGAACTGGTTATAAGGCTCAAACTTGTTATTCGAAAACACGTGCGAAGGCAAGATCGTAACTGGCAGGATGATATGATGGAGGATGTTAATACGCTTGATGTACGAAACTGGAAGTATGCTTAACAGATCAAAATAACAACGTATTGTCAAGCAAGCTAAAGGCCTTAGAGGACTGCAGTGTTGCAAGAAGAAAAAAAACTCATCCGGTAGAACACGAACAATGAGTAGTAATGATATGAGCAGTAATTTAGATATACTTATTCGAGGCTCTGAGCCGACCTTTATAACCGCTAGAGGTCAATCAGTAAACGACATCACATTCGCTTCGATGGGTATCTCGTCTTCGATCCAAAATTGGACGGTTTCCGACAATGTTTCAATGTCGGACCATAGATGGATCACTTTCGATCTTGGTACCATAAAAATTGGAAAGAACCTAAAGCGTAACCCCAGAAGGACGGATGTGGGCCTGTTTAGATCTTTGCTAACTGGGTGTTTGAGCGATATTGGGTTGCGTAAGCTAACTGAAAGCTTTGAAGTTGAGGAGTACCTAAATACTATTAAGGATTCCTTAATTAAAGCTTATAAAAAAATAAAAAGGCCTGTCCCCTCCGATCAGAGGCCGTCTCAGTCCGGGCATGCTACCATTTGGTGGTGCCCTGAGCTCGGCAAATTTAAAAAGGAGGCAAGAATAGCCTTTAATAGAACTAAAAACTCAAAATTAGACTCCGACTCAAAACTTTATAAAGGAAAATTAGGAGTTCAAAAAAAGCGTTCGTAATAGAAAACGAGAAACGTGGAGAAAATTTTGTGAGGAAGTTTCCTCCTGCAGCGAAGTTTCTCGGCTAAATCGGGTTCTGGCTTCAGACCCTGAACGACGCATTGGCGTACTAAAAAAGGCTGACGGTTCTTATTAATGGAGGTGCATTTTTCAGGTTCCGGTAGTTCCGTGTGCTTACAATAGGACATCAACCATGAACCTACTGCAAATGATTGGATTTCAGCCCAAGAGATTTGCAGGGAGGAAAAAATAAGGTGGGCCATCAACAGTTTCTCGCCGTTCAAAACATTAGGACCAGACGGTATTATACCTGCCCTTCTACAATGGGGCTTGGAGGATTTAGTACTTCACCTAGCGGAAATCTTCCAGGCATGCCTGGCGTTGCGCTATATACCCAGTCGGCGGCGTGAGGTCACAGTGAACTTCATACCAAAGCCGGGTAAGCTTGATTATTTCACACCGAAATCGTTTAGACCAATCAGTCTCTCCTCCTTTCTTTTGAAAACTCTGGAAAGACTGTGTGATCGCTACATTAGAGATTTCTGTCTGACAACTAAACCAGTACATCCTAATCAACACGCTTACACTCAGGGCAAGTCCACACTAACGACTCTTCACTCAGTGACCAGCTTTGTTAGTGGAGCGCTGGACCTAAAGGAGTCCGCCCTGGGTGTTTTCATAGATATAGAGGGAGCTTTTGATAAAACAACTTTCTCTGGTATTAACGATGCCTTGTTAGAGTATAATGTTCCACCAACTCTTTGTAGTTGGATTGAGAACACTCTTAAACATAGGATAGTTAAGCTTAGGGCTGGCGATGTCAGTCTCCAACGAGGAGTTACTCAAAGCAGTCCACAAGGGGGTGTACTATTCCCACTTTTATGGAACCTCACCCTGGATAGCCTCTTGAAATGCCTCGCTGAAGCCAACATCACTACAGTTGGTTACGCAGATGATTTAACCGTTCTCGTCAAAGACAAGTACATAAACGTGCTTTTTGATAGGATGCAAGTAGCTCTCAAATTAATAGAGACTTGGTGTGACGAACAAAGACTCTCTGTGAATCGTAAGAAGACAGAGTTGATTTTTTTCACACGGATGAGGAAGTTTGGCAAGCCCAGAATGCCATCCCTTGCTAATACTCCATTGGTGTTGTCAAAAGAAGTTAAATATCTGAGCATCACACTTGACAATAAAATGACATGGAGAGCCCACCTAGATAATAGAGTAAAAAAAGGGTACGTTGGTATTCGGTCAATGCCGGAAAGCTATAGGTAAGACAAGGGGTTTGTCACCCAAAAATGCCCTCTGGATTTACACGCCTGTAATCCGACCTATAGTCCTTACAGTCTACATCCACTGCTGTACTTAATAAAGTACAGAGACTTGCGTGTTTGTATGTTACAGGTGCGCTGCGGACTACTCCCACTGCAGCCATGGAAAACATATTGAACCTAACGCCACTTCATTTGTTCATCCAAGAGGTGGCACTGGTGACCATGACTCGACTGCGAGCAGCAGGAATTCTAATGGGTCAAAGATATAGTAAAAATGCCATTTTCTGGTATGAAATGGTGGACTACTCACCAATGCTGGAATGTATAACGGACTTCACACCCATACAACACATTTTTACGAACAGAAAAAGAGAAGTAGAGGTAAAAACAGATACACTGATGGTTCAAGGAGACGGGAAGGAGCCGGAGTCTTCTCGTACGATTTCCGACTCCACGTATCTGAACCTCTAGGTAAAAGTACCACCGTCATACAGGCGGAGTTAATCGCCATACAACTTGCCGCTGACGTTATCGTCAGATCGAACTTGGTAGATAAGACTTTTACAATTTACACTGACAGTAGACAAGCTATTTTAGCCCTGAGTAGAATAACAATTACCTCAGGACTTATTATGGGTTGTCATCTGACATTGGAGAAGGCCGCAGTGCATAACTGTGTTATACTTCAATGGACTTCAATGGAACACAGCGCAAATAGTTCCCCTTAAAAAAACAATCCGGAAGGTTTTCAGGACTTTAGACCCATTGCTCTACTTCCTGTTATGTCCAAAATTTTGGAAAAAATTATGGATATCCAACTTCGTAAGTTTGTAAAGAGGAGTAATTTGTTACCTGAATGTCAGTCAGGATTTAGCAAGTTTTACAGCTGTAGTACCGCGTTTTTGAAAATATTGGAATATGTACATCAAGCGATTGACAATAGGCAATGTGTGACACTTGTATTACTGGATTTTTCCAGGGCCTTCGAAATTCTACTGAGCATTCTTTCACTAAAATAAATCAATAATCAAAAAAAAGGAAAAAAGGAAATTGCGGTATTATCTAGCGTTGAGGTAAATCCTTAAGTTAGCACTGGACGACTTGCAATTGACGCCGGAATATTGAAGACTAGCATTTTAAGAATATTAAAGCGCAAGTATCACCCATACCACATTTCATTGCATCAATAGCTTTATAAAGGTGATTTTGAAAATCGATTAATATTTTGTCAATGGGCACAAGAACGAATGCGGTTGGACGTCAATTTCTTTGGTAACGTGCTATTCTCGGATGAGTCTACTTTTACAAACAAAGGACAAGTCAATAGAGATAATATGCACTATTGGAGCGTTGAAAATCCGAGATGGTTGCGTGAAGTAGAACATCAACGACTTTGGTCGGTTAATGTTTGGTGTGGCATAATTAGTGATAAATTGATCGGTCCATACTTTATTGATGGTATGTTGAATGGAGAAAAGTACCGAAATTTTTTAAATGACGTCTTACCACCGTTACTTGTAGATTTAAGCAGGGAAGAAAAACAGAATATGTGGCTGCAAAATGATGGACACCCATAGCCACATATTCTGCAAAATGATGGGTGTCCAGCACATTTTTCACATATTGCACGTGAAGCTTTAGATCGGGATTATGCTGGGCGATGGATTGGAAGGGGAGGTCCAATTTCCTGACCTGCCAGATCACCTGATTTAACACTTCTTGATGTTTTTTGTGGGGCGTCCTTAAGGATAATGTTTATCGCGAAGTACCGACTACGCCAGAAAACATGAAAGAGCGGATTAGAAATGCATGCAGAAATAGTAGCCAAGAAAACCTTTTAAGATTTAAAGAAAGTTTTAGTAGAAGGGTTAATAAATGTATTGAAGTGGGTGGGGAAATATTTGAACATTTGTATAAATTTTATACTTGTTGATTAAGTATAGTTTAATCATTTTTTTATAAATAAACAATATTAAAAACTATTTGAATAAAAAATCATTTAGATTTTGTCTACAAAAGATGTTTCGCCATCGTACTGGTAAAACCACACGGTAATTCTTTCAGATTTTGCAATCAAAAACATAGGGTGCCATTTAAAAAATTGGTCGTGACCTTCATATGACCTTGAAAATAAAGTCAATGTGAAAAAATGTTATCGTCATATGTTTTCCCCCTTCACACAGAACATCTTTCATTTGGTTCATTTTTATGTAAAATGAACCGCTTTCGAGATAATCACTTGTCTAACGTTAAATAGACCATTCTCTATAAATATAAAACAAAAAACTGAATTTTGTCTTCTTGAATAATGAAAAATGTGATACAAATTGACTTCACAACATGGTATAACAAAATTCCCTGATAATCTTACTAACTGTTAACAACTTTACAACAATTTGTTGTTAATTGAAGATAAAACTTTATAAATAAAATAGTTATTAAATGATAATCACTATTAATTTTTAATTCATGTAGAAAAACTAGACACAGTTCAATGATTAACCTTTCTATGCTATAAAAATAACATCGTGCGTCAAAGTTAAAAATTAAACATAAAAACCAATTTAACATTCATTTAATTTATATGCACTGATTATTTAAGGTCATTTACTTTTTTTGTCGTGCATCGTATATATTAACATTTCAAAGAATTAAAAACAATCTTATTATAATTATCATATTGTAATTACGGTATAAATTGAACAAATGCAATAATCAACACAAAAACTCGAATCATCATAATCATCTATCAAAATTAAAACGATAATTTTTATTTTCTATGTTTTGTTCAAAAACTTTTTTTCTTACCTATACAACCAAATTTTCCCCCACGCATACGTTCATAAAACACAACACATTTAATTTAAACCGTTCGGTACAAAGTCCAATTAATCAACATCGATTATAACGTTTAGTAAATTCCTCGACACACGTCTAAAGCAGACAATTGTGCCGTTTCAATTCACACTTTAAATTTAAACCGAAACGATAAGCAACAAAAAACTGATAGCAGTCCGTTTTTTTGAACGTCTTTATAACAAAACGAGGTCGGTAAAGTAGAACCGCGTGTTTACTCACGTCACCGATTTTGACAGATAACCTAACCTAGTTTTATCAAAACGATTATAACCACGGTATTTTCGTTTAAAAGATTAAAAGCCGGAATGCAGTGAGGTTAAGAAACACTAATTGAGTGATATATTAAAACGGTGTGAATTTTTAGTGAAATGGCCGAACCATCGCAACCAAATCAACAGGATATATCAGCGGGTACTTCCACTACGGTGACTACTTTGGTAGAGGAGGAAAGTGAGGTAAAATAACTTACTTATGTGAAAATAGGGTTGCGTAAGCGCATTTTACACTATCAATATGATGATTATAATCACAGTTTTAAGTTCGCGGCGAGATGTTGTTTCGCAGCGCGTTAAAAACTAATTTTTTAGTTATTAAACGTTCCGTGTCGAATATCGCACCTTTAAATGGGATTAGAGTAATTGATTTGACGAGAATCGTCGCGGGACCCTTTTGCACTCAAATCTTGGGCGATTTGGGCGCGGATGTTATTAAAATTGAACGACCAGGGAGTGGAGATGAAGCTCGAAAATGGGGCCCGCCGTTTATTAAAGATTCCAAAGAAAGTTGTTATTTTATTTCATTAAATAGAAACAAAAGAAGCGTTTGTGTTAATCTAAAATCAACGTTGGGGCAACAAATTATTTATGATTTATCAAAAAAGGCGGATGTTTTAGTTGAAAATTATGTTCCAGGTAATTTAGATGGTTTGAAGTTGGGTTATAATGATTTAAAGGAAATTTCTCCTCATTTGATTTATTGTTCAATCACGGGATATGGTTCGGAGGGGCCTTATTCTAATAAACCAGGTTATGATGTGATAGCAGCTTCTTTGGGTGGGTTTTTACATATAACTGGACCAGAAAATGGGGAGCCTATAAAAGCTGGAGTTGCTGTAACTGATATAGCAACGGGGTTATATGCTCATGGTGCTATAATTGCAGCTTTATTTCAAAGAGAAAAAACGGGGATTGGAATGAAAATTGACGCAAATTTATTATCAACTCAATTAGCTTCTTTAATTAATATTGGTTCAAATTATTTAAACGCAGGAAAAGAAGCGAAAAAATGGGGTACAGCCCATGAAAGTATCGTTCCATACGAATCATTCCCAACAAAAGATGGTTACTTTACAATTTGTACTGGCTCTGATCTTCAATTTAAAGATTTATGTTTAAAAATGAACTTAAATCATTTATATGAATCAGAAGAATATAAAACGAATATATTAAGAGTACAAAATAGAAGGAAATTAATTCCTTTGTTAAAAAATGTTTTTGTACAAAAAACCAATAAAGAATGGGAAATTATTTTTGAAAATGCCGAATTTGTTTGTGGTCCAGTTAATACTATAAAAGAAGCGTTTGATGATGTTCATGTTAAACATACTAAAATTGTAAAAGAATTAAATCATTCGACTGTGGGGAGTATTAAAGTGGTTGGACCTCCTGTAAAGTACAATAATACAGTTGGTGAGATAAGATTAGCTCCACCTACATTGGGAGAACACACAGATAGCGTTTTGAGGGACCTTTTGGGATATGATGAAGATAAAATTAAAACTTTACGACGAGATAAAGTTGTACAATAAAGCATTTTTTAATTATTAAGATTATCATTGAATTTTAACCTGGGTTTTATCTCATTTTATATAATCGTTTTTGTCTGGAAATGTGTAATCATGTTTTATTTACAATTTGTTTGGGTATATGAGCTAATTTTATAAAATAGATAATAAAAAATTATTGGTTTTTATTCTTAAATCCTTTATAATATTTTTTTTTCTTAATTTAGGTTGATGTACCAACCGTAACTGTAAAATTAAAGAAGCCAAGAACTGACAGAAAAGTGCAATGGACCACTGAAACGATTGATAATGAAGAAATGAACAAGAAAAAATCAAAATGTAATAATTACTACTATTAGTTCTAGTTTTAATTATTATTCAGCGCTTTACGCGATGTCATATGATGTTGAACTAAAACTAGAACTAACAATAGACCTACAACTAGAAACATTCGGGTTTAGCCATCTTAAGCCACAGCTTAATGAGCCATACAGCTAAACCCAAATGTTTCTAGATCTAGAATTAGCTGTAATGATAGTGTTCTAGTTTTTGTTGTTATTGAGTGTTAGATAGTTCTTTTTTTTTATTGAACTAGAACTAGAAACATTCGGGTTTAGCTATACGTCTCTTAAGATGGCGAAACCCAAATATTTCTAGTTCTAAGGGCTAGTTCTTCAGTCACTAGATAAACTCCAGTTAAATAAATCTCGGTATAACTTGAAAAGTCAATTCTCGTCAGTTTAAAGATCGATATATCGAGAACCGTCCGATGAAAAAAATTGCGGTTAGCTTTGTTGTATTCACTGAACATTTCTACGTAACATATGTGAATTTGAAATTTTTCGACTCCGCCGTTTTCCTAAAATCGCGAGTTAAATGAAAAAAGTATCCTATTTTTGACGGGGCCGCAACTTTGTCCACTTTGCGATTTTTTTTCTCAAAGACTATCTGACGAAAAAAAATCATATTTGAACAGGTGGTACCCTGATGTGTTCTTAATGATGTGCATATTTAATTTTTTCGATATTCTATACAGTTTCGCGGAAAATCGCGGTTTAGTAAGATGCGGTATAGTCGAAAACGGCTGGTTGGATTTTAACACGATTTTAACCAAAATATGGTAAATAATTGCGTTAGTCGAATCCTGTTATGAGCTTTTCAAAGTTTTGTCTCTTTATTTTTTTTTTTTAACAATTTACGCGAGCTATAAATTAAAAAGTAACAGAAATAAGCCATGCGGGGAGAGAAGAGTTCCGTTCAGTTCAAAAGTCAAAAGATGGTGCTGGTGTGTATTCCAAACCAAAGGTGGGCACGGGTACGGGTACTTTAATACTATTCGGGTATCGGATACTTTTTACGATACTTTTCACAATTTAAAGTACCCGGGTTCTATTAGCGGGTACTAGGGAACGGGTAATTAAAAAAAATTACGATTGTGTTAAAAATGAACAACTTGTAAATAAAAATGATAATTGGGTTGTACTACATACTTCAAAAAATATTTTCTTATATTGCATATTTTACTATTTACGTGATATATTATAATAAATTAAAGTCTAATAAATGTTTGTTAGCATTCAATAATGTTAATATTTCAAAGTTGTCGTCTTATAGCGCTTGGCGTCTTGGAGTTAGGACCATGTTGGCCAATGAGAATAACCTTTCGACAGGTGCCGATGATGGTAATGCGGTATTGTATTTTAGAAACAGTTTTTTTAATGTTGGGTACTCATGAATAATGTTTAAATTTGTACGTTATCATCTAAATATCGCAGTAGTTCTAACTCAACTTTTGGTCCATAATGTTTAGTTTGGTTAACGTTTTTTTGTACTTCACTTTCATAGGTTATTTTCCTCCCCAGGCGAGCTTTCTTTTATAAATTTTTTAATTTCATCAATGCTTAAATTTGGGTCTTTCATAACTGACAACCATCTCAATTTAAAATTTAGTAACAATACACACGCACCTATGGAATCGTAGCTCTTCATAAGTTAAATGGTTGAAAACTTACTTTGCAATTTCTCAATGCACATATGTATGATGATATCCATATTTAAATTTATTGGATATTATTAAATTACATTCAAAATACCCGAGTAGTCGAATATTGTACCCGGGTACGGGTATTTTTCGTCGTTTAAATGTATCCAGGTAATGAGTACTCTAACAACAAATTACCCGGGTGCCGAGTACTTTCTATACTCGGGTATTTACCCGGGTACAAAATTACCCGGGTACTGCCCACCCATGTTCCAGACTGGGTTCGACGTGGCGTACTGAAGTCTAGTCTGAAGGGATTCCGGTAGACCTTGCATTAGAACGTAAGAAACACTCAAGACGCGTCATATAATAATTATATACAGGGTGATTCACATAAGAACCGACACAAAGCAGGGACATGTAGAGGACAATAAATTAAGATGATTTAACGTAACTTGCCTCTATACAAAGTTGTACACCTCAGGAGTTATAGGCCTTCAAAGTTGGCTCTTAAATTTTTAAAAAGTTCTAATATTTTCCTAATACATTAAGCTAGAAAAACCAAACTTGGTATACGTTATGAGCGTACCAAGTAGCAAATAGATCTCAATTAAGGCATTTCAAAGGGTTGATTAAGGGTGATGGTACCTCAAATTTTGACAGATTTTTTTAACCTTTTGGTGGATTTAATACGTTACTACTTCATTTCATGTGGAATTTAATTCTAATATTTTTCTTACTCTTATTATTTTTTAAAAAACTTTGTCGTTGTTCAAAAACTCGAGTGCCACCAATCGGATCCAGTTACCTCATCGAGAAACGCAAATCACATAACCATGGTAAATGTAAACATGTCATTTACTAACGCAGAAGCGTATGATGATTTCTTTGCAATGTATCGAATATGATGCAACTGCATGGTAACTGTACAATGCAATTACGACAAAGAAAGACATTTTTCTCTAGAAGTGTTTTTAAGATTGGCTTAGCGATTACGAGAAACTGCCAACGTGTAGCACATAATCTGGGAACCTCGAAAACAACTAATTGTCCACAAGATTCCTCAAGAGAATAATATGTATCTCCACCACATTGTTTTACATCAGGTCTTAACATATACCTATTATAATAACAGATTGAACTATTATTATTGACTCTGGCAAATCCAAACCTTTTATCACAAATGCTATGGAAGCATTTTTCACCCCTTCATCTATGGGGTAGACTAAACGACCTGACTTTTCAAGAAATACCAATAACCAGCGAAAATATGACAAAACACTACTGCCATTAGAAACGTGTCCAGGGCTGAGACTTAAACAGCGTTTTTTTTTCGTCGAAACTAGATTAAATAAATGCATCGAGGTTTATGGAAGGCATTTCGAACATTTGTGAGCTATTTTTGCCAAAAATTTAAATAATTCTAAATGTTTTGGTTTAACCATGGTCTAACTTTCTGAGATAGCGGAAATTTTATGTTTCTTTAATTACGAACTTCAAAATAATTTCTAGCTATTTCTCATGCCCACTTTGACTATAAGTATTTTTTCCCCAAACCTCTAGGCCTTACCGCAGTCGAGATACAGCAGTTACGTACCCTTAACGGGACACCTGTTCAGTACAGCCATTTTGAATATAAGTTTAGCAGAAAAAGGAGCTGTATATAAAGGTTGTTACATAAGAACGCCCCAAGCTGTAACTGTCATTTTCATTCCGATTTTTATGAGCCAGATATCAAATGAAAGGGTTTGATGGATACTACGATTCATGCTACAAATAAATTTTCCAACGCCATCTTCAATTTTAAGACTTTTTCAAATTGGTCGGTATGTTTTCCTTGCGTTATTGGATAGGGTTTTTTTTCTGACTGTGATTATTTATTTTTATCTGGTGGGCGCTGGTTAACAACAAAATCTTGGTTTTACGTTTCCATAAACTTTATTATTAATTTCACTTAAACTATACATATAAATTGCGATTAGTTATATAGGGAGCCTTGCTCCGCGTGTATTGAAGGGGTACTGTTTCGTTGGGTGTTAAATCGAAGACTGAATAACTAATACGAGTTGAGCTCGCAGGCTCCTTCTTTATTTTAGGTCATAACTAAAACCCTTACCTAAACACCGAAATATACACCCCAACGCATTCCCACACTTCACTCAACCCAATAAATAATGCGATAAAAAACCCTAATCTTGCGACTCGAGACACTTCAAATCTAGACTAAACAAATGAGGCGATACAAATAAATCCAATATAAACGAACTAATATAATATAAACCTATCAAATCTAATATAAATTAACCAATATAATATAAAATCTAACAGACTGCATTGATGTACAATACATCAATATTAATTCTAATCAACGACGGTAATGATTCGAGCAATATTTGTGAAATTTTTTAGTTTTGATGTTTGTTTTCTCTGTTACAATAATTACAAATTAATGTACATCAATCAGAAAAAAAAATCTCTATCCAATGACGCAAAAGAGTATATGTATACCACTTGAATCGCATACCAGGCTCGGGGGAGACCTTTGCTGTGAATCGCAGAGATTTTCCAGCACATCACAAATAATGCCTAAAAATATTACGTGCAAAACCCAACAAATTTAAGTTGCCGCCTGTTAACTGATGTATTTTCCAGGAATTCATCACTGTTATGTTTAGCATGTGTGTCCAAAGGGATCACCACCATTTATTTCCTTGTATGGAAATTCGGTAATTATTTATTGATTGATCCAGTAGGTCTGCGCCACCCACATGGTTGAGGAACCTGTATTTTCTCTTTTCCTTTCTTAGACCGCTTAGACGCTTTACATTAGGAAGAGAATAAATTTAGTCGTAATTGGTCATCATTGTTGCCAAACTGTTGTCTTTCCATCTGACAAGTAATAGCAAGTTTTCAGGTTCCTGTTTCATTTCTTTCTCATTCGGCAAGGGATTTGTGCGATTTATACGGACACTTCACGTCGCTCTATGGCCAAGGTTTTTTAGCGTACTTAGCAGACTGGTTTGTAAAAAAGTTATCAAGTGGTCCTCAGGAATATCAATTCCTTCTAATAAATCCAAAACTATCCTAGATCCAAGACCTAGTTTTTTATCATGATTCAGTTGAAGTTTTGCGCCGGAACTACAAAACATTCAGTCTTTGTATCCAAGTTGTACTGGCTTTCCACGGTTAAACTACTTAGAAGGTGGCGTCTATAATATTCAAATCTCGATGAAAAATACCCCACTGTTGGAGTTTCTTGTTCAAGATGTTTATCAAAAGTCGAAACTTGAACATTTTGTCGTCTTTTTCGATATCATCAGCTGAAATTTTTGTTTTTGTCATACTGTTTGTTGCGTGACATGCAATTTCTGACCAAATTAATGCCTAGATCTTCATCACTATTGCAATACAATTTTTCCCTGGGTAGCCGATGATGCACACTGACTGAAAATGCATGATTGTATTTTTAATTTGCGTATCGCATAGTTTTCGCAATAATTAGTTCTAACACTTCAGCATCAAACTACTTCTCAAAAATTTCAACAGGATTAATGTTTAGCATTTCACTTTTTAGATTCTCTTCACATTGCACATATCCATTACTATTTGTCATATCAATTGGTACAATGTAAAGGAAGAATTTTTAATTGTCAGTTTTTTTTTTACTTGCTAACTCCTTACGAAGATGGCTTTGTATGTGTGCCAAAGGAACCTCGTCTTCTGAGTCAGCGCCACTAGCTTCGGCAGTCGATAACTCAATTCAACAACTCGCCAGGAACTTCTACAGGGATAATAGCATCGTCAATACGATTCTTGTATGTCATCTTCGTCCGTTTCGAAATTTCTTTCAGGCGATATACCAACATCTACATTTTTTCAGCCTCAGCAATAAATTTTGTGATGTTTTCGGGTATTTTATGGTTTTTGGCCTGTACTTATACGAGTAGATTGGGATCAAATGGGTTAAGAGACGCATGGCTTAACTCGCTCAAGATCTTACCCATATTATGAACCTTAACTCTCAAACTAACAACATTACAAGACATGAATAAAATGAAATAAGCATTTGCTAATTCAAAGTGTGAAATAGTAGTTGCTTACCTATGCGTGACGTCACGAACGGGCCTTCGAGCTGTGCACCTGTTACCGGGATGTAGAAGTTCTCTTAGATTCTACGATCCTTGGTATAAATAACGCCAGGTAGACTGAACACAACGGTGTGAATAGCGGTTCGAATTTGTGTGTATTAAAATTATTCATTCAAACAGTTTATAGAGCAAATTAAAATTGTTTCATATAACGGGCTTTTGGCTATAACTGACACTCCCTTCCCCGTATTAGTCCGTTGTATCGAGATTGTACTATGTATGTTTTCTAATTTCTGATGTTTTTATTGAAGGTTGTTGTATTTATAAAAAGCCCACTCAATTTGGTGAAAGTTCAAGTTCGGATAGTAGCGATGACGAATGTGATCATTGTCAAGGTCACGTTGAAAAGAAAAAGAAAAAACGTGGTTTAGCGGACGGCCAATTGGAAGGTGAAGGAAATGGAGCTGAAAACGAACATGTTTTAAACGTGGTTGAGTCGATAGTTGATGTTGTTCCGGATGTAAATAACGATCGCGCCCAACAGGAAGCGACGTAATTTTTTAACGCAATAAAAATATCGACCGAATTCATATCAGTATAATCGATTACAAAATCAATTAAAGAAAAATTAATTAAAAAAAAAATAAAATTTAAAAAATCAGTATTCGTTTAATTAAGAAAATTTAAGGAAAATAACAAGCATTTGATGTTGAAAATAAGACTTACTCCCAATTGAAAGATGATAATGTAATTTTTGTCATTTTATTAAAAATAGTATCAATAAAAAATAAAACTCCCTTCCTAATATTGATGTAAGGTTGTTAATTTAAGTGCTATGTTGTGATACCTCTCTTTTGAGTTCCATTTTTCCTTGATATTTTAGTTGTTTAAAAAAATATGTTATTAAAAAATATTTAATTTATATGTAACTGTTTATAACAACTGTTTTTGTAAACATTCAATACTTAAATAATTGTGTTATTAATAAATAAATTGTGCACAAATCATTTTTGCACGGCAATTATTTCTTTCGAATTCAAATTGTTTTGGAAAGATAAACGTATATAATGATAATAAAAAGTAAATAAATACACAGCTGTTTCACAATTACAAGTAAAATTTTATGATTAAGAAAAAGAACAATAAATCTTAAAAATTAATTGATTTGGCCGTTTATTAACAGTTATCAATACTTAAACGGAATTAAATATTTTCGTTCGCACTTTTATATTGATTAAATTAGAATAGAAATTAAAATATTTAATATAAACGATAATTTGGTAGATAATTATCTGTTTGCTTTATCATCTACCTTTGACTGACATATAGCAACCATAACGACCTACCATCTATAAAATAACTAAATAGTGTAAAAAATGCGAAGGTTCATAGGAAAATTGTTTAATGATAATCTCATATGCGAACATACTCCTACGAAAGTAAAAGGAGGAGGACAAAAACAAAACATTTTTGTCCAAAAAACGATATTAGGACCTCAACGCTAAAATAGAAAAGGAGAATCAATACCTAGGCATAATAGGTAAACTCAAGGAATCTAATAAAATTGGCACTAGATTAGACTAATAACGCGGCCTCCCTCACTCAATATGGTCATTATGAGTATGGTGGTTATTGTAGGTATCTTCAGGTCACTTCATTATTGATGCAAGGCACTAATTTGATATAATAGATGTCAAAAGTAGGAAAGGTGCTAACGTCAATTGTGACCACTCCCTGGTAGTAAGTAGTAGAGATGTGTAAAACTGCGCTGCGCGGCGCAATTGAGTTTAACTCAGTACAGTGTGTTACGTGCGCTAATACCCAACTTTAAAATGAGTCAACTCAATTGCGCCACCGTTGGCATAGTAGAGCACGCCGGTGTGGTTTGAAGATTTACAAATCTGTATGTAGGTGAAAATTCCAGCCCTTAATCACGTATAAAACCTTCATTTGCTAGAACTTGGAATGAGACAGCAGGCGGCGCCGATGCAGTTGACCGGCGAGAGATAGACGTGATGCATCCAGCAACTGTGTTATGGCACAATTGAGTTGATACATTGCGCTAACTCACTTAGGTGCGTTAGTATTAATATGTCAGCGCAGCAAATTTTGCTGCGTTACACATGGTTAGTAAGTAGAGCCAGAGTTGCGAATATCAAAAAGATAACAGGACAAAAATACGAGACATTTAACCTACAGTACCTCAAAGATTACAGTAGAAATGTACACATGTCGAAATATTATCTATGAGACCGCAGAAGATGCTCTAGGAGTTGAAAGAAAAGCAACGGGCAGTACAATGGTCTGATTTGACGAAGAGTACACAAAGGCAACGGATTGAAAGAATCAAGACTATAGAAAAATAATTGCGTAAAATCAAACAAACGTAGAGCAGGGAAGAGGGAATATAAAAGGATTCCTAGACGGAAACACAGAAACGCCATAAACGGTTAGTGGTGCGTAGGAGAGTCTCGTTTTCGAGAGTCTTGCATGNTGGTACTAGATTAGACTAATAACGCGGCCTCCCTCACTCAATATGGTCATTATGAGTATGGTGGTTATTGTAGGTATCTTCAGGTCACTTCATTATTGATGCAAGGCACTAATTTTATATGTATAATAAATGTCAAAAGTAGGAAAGGTGCTAACGTCAATTGTGATCACTACCTGGTATAGTAAGTAGTAGAGATGTGTAACGCTGCGCTGCGCGGCGCAATTGAGTTTAACTCAGTACAGTGTGTTACGTGCGCTGATACCCAACTTTAAAATGAGTCAACTCAATTGCCCCACCGTTGGCGTAGTAGAGCACGCCGGTGTGTCTTGAAGATTTACAAATATGTATGTAGGTGAAAATTCCAGCCCTTAATCACGTATAAAACCTTCGTTTGCTAGAACTTGGAATGAGACAGCAGGCGGCGCCGACGCAGTTGACAGGCGAGAGATAGATGTGATGCATCCAGCAACTGTATCAGTGTGTCAGTGCAGCAAATTTTGCTGCGTTACACATAGTAGACCCAGAGTTGCGAATATCAAAAAGACAACAGGACAAAAATACGAGACATTTAACCTACAGTACCTCAAAGTTTACAGTAGAAATGTACACATGTCGAAATATTATCTATGAGACCGCAGAAGATGCTCTAGGAGTTGAAAGAAAAGCAACGGGCAGTACAATGGTCTTGTTTGACGAAGAGTACACAAAGGCAACGGATTGAAAGAATCAAGACTATAGAAAAGTAACTGCATAAAATCAAACAAACGTAGAGCAGGGAAGAGGGAATATAAAAGGATTCCTAGACGGAAACACAGAAACGCCATAAACGGTTAGTGGTGCGTAGGAGAGTCTCGTTTTCGAGAGTCTTGCATGGTCTCGTCTCGGGCATGAGGTCTTGCGTCTCGTACGAGAGTCTCGCAGGTAAGTATTTCTGCAAATAATAGCTGCAATATTTCTGTAAATATTTTCGTATCTACACGCTGGAATTCCAGTAATGATATGTTGAAAGTACCTCTTGAAGGTACACATGCAGTTGGTGCATTGTGTCAAAATGTTGTTGATTTAAAACCATATGCTCTTGAGGATACAGAATCGATACTGCTAGAAGAAGTGTATAAATTACTAGTCAACTTTCAAATACTTTCCAAGAAACACGGAGGAGGGAAGCACGTCAAATTACCTATGGTGGTTGTATGTATCAATATACTAATAGATAATATTGAGAGCAAGATATTTGCATGGGACTGAAAGGCAGATCGAAAAGCTGTCGAAAGCAGCTTATTGTTGGTTTTCAGGCTGCGAGAGACAAAATATTAAAGGATTATCGTAAAACTAATTAGATTTATGCTACAGTTTTAATTCTCGATTCGCGGCATAAGATAGAAGTTTTTGAAATGACAAGATGGAGCCAAGAATTAAAACAGACTTCGATTCAGAAATTTGAAGATGTATACAAAGCCTATTTCCATCAATCAGAAGGTCAACCTTCGCAAGTAACGGCATTGGAGAAACGACAAGATTCTAGAGCGGAAAAGTCGGATTTTGTAATTGATTTTGATGTTTTGTATGCAGTAAATCATACGCCTAATAAAGACACAGATATATTACAATGGTGGAAAATTCATGCTTCTGAATTTATTATTTTAAGTTTAATGGCACGAAATCTCTTAAGCATACCGGCTACTTCAGTCCCGGCGGAAAGATTATTCTCACGTGCTACATTAACCGACAGGGCTGAGGGCTGCAATTCTCTCGTCCGACTCTTACATTATAGCAAGTATTTAAGTATTCCTTATTGCACTGAAACAATAAGATTATGCATGACGAGATTTTGATACTTTTATGAGATTCTCGTACGAGAAGCGAGACGAGACGAGATACAAGACTTATTAGTTCATCGGCGAGACGAGACAAGACTTTATGCAACTCTCTCGTGCGAACCACTCTGCATGAATTAGAGAAACTAAGAATACAGAAAACTTTAACAGAACATCCTAAACTGAACATAATAAATTTAACCATTGACCCCGTAAGATTAATCAAAATGAAGCAATTTGTGTGAAAGCCTATAAGAACTCCGGTCTAGTTATTATTAATAGAGATGAATATTTAGCTAAAACCTACGATTTTATATCTGATAACAATTATATGTATAAATGGAGTGGTGTGAGACCGAGCAGGGCTTCCAAAGCAGCCGTCGGACAAGATCTCATTGCAACCGTTATATTAAGACATGTTAACCGCTGGATTTGTGCCAGCTGTTATGCTGTCTTATGTTTTGTTTTTGGCCACCAAACCAATGAGGCGAAGGCGACCATGGGTCTGATTATTGTTACGTAGGCCCAATGAGCCATTCGTGGTTTGAGACCCAAGTTCCTTCCTAGGAGCCTGCGGCAGATCTGGTTTGCCATGATGGCCTTTTTCCTTACCTTGTCTAAGTGTAAGTTCCAATGTAGTTTACTGTCTAGTATTACCCCTAGATATTTAATTTCTGTTTTGAAGTTAATAGTTCTGCTTTCAATGGAGGGGGCTTTTATTTGTAGCTTCCTTCTCCGAGTGATAGGGACTATTTCGATTTTATTTGGATTGGTGCTGAGTCCATTGCTTCTACACCAAGTACTGGTGAGTGGTAGGGCTTTCTGCATTAATTGAGTTATGATTGTATCATATTTACCACGGATTGTGATTACCAGATGAATACCCCCGAATCTTGAATCCATTTTTTGTTAGGGTGTTCATCAAGTCATCAACTAGCAGGCACCATAGTAGAGGTAAGGAGAGAAAGAACATTGGACAACATCAATTTCTTACATACAGCTATCAAACTTGGAGTCACTCCTAAATATTTCAGAATAAAAGTACCTAAACCATTCAATTCACAACAGTTCGAAATGGAGAAAAACTCATCAAGAAAAATATTAGAATCCTTTATAAGAAGCTCTCCAACATCGACACTATTCTTAAATTCATACATAGAAGAATACAACATTTTCTTCACTACATTGAACATGAATTTATCTGAAACTAATTTCATGAAGAAATATACTTCAAGACAATCAGAAGTAAGAAGATAAAAGAGAACAAACTCGATAGGTTAATTAATGATAAGAATAATACAAACAATTTCATAACAAATAGGAATAACGGTAATAAATTAAATTTTATAAAGGTAAATAATCAGGTACATTGTTCTCCCGCCGCCCCCACTTTACATAATGAAAAACATATAGAAAATTCTAATTCGAATTTGACACACTTAAATAACAATAGTTTCACTATTAAAAGATTTTAAAAAATTAAACCAATTTTTTCTGTTGACCTGAGCAATTTGAATGATATTAAATTTCCTCCACGTTTCACTAATTTCACCAATACACTTTTTACAGATAAAGAAACCGAAACCTTTAACACCAAATCTGTTGATTTTGCTATTGATATGGAATCACAATTGATTAAAAGCTCTATAATCAAAGATATTTTTGTGAATAATCACAATATTGTTTCTAGTTTGGAT